TCTGAACAGAAGATGGAAAATGCAACAGTAAAGCAGCTGATTTGCTGGCCAGCTCCCTGGATGACTTAGCCACCACTTTGAGAATTACAGAAATGTTTGCATTCACTTTCTTCCTGTTTGGGACTTTGAGCTGGGTGTGTGGTAGGGATATCAGAAGTGTGTCCTTCAAGGGGATAGGGTCTCCTGTTTGTATTCATCTTCTAGTTTCATAGTTGCTGTCAGAGTTCTAGATCCTTTGTCAACGTTTAAAATTAGCAACTTTTAAAAAATTGTTGAGCTGGAACTGTAGCTCAGTGGTAGAGTATATACTAGTATGTGTAAGGCCCAGAAATCAACTCTCAGTACTACCAAAGGAACAAATAAATTGGGAAAGTAAATGGGAGTGTCTCAGTGATAGAGTGCTTATCTAGCATGGACAAGTTGCTGGTTCAGTCCCAAGAAATGACCAAGAAAAATTACAAATGTACTTAAATGACAAAACAAAAGAAACTATCTCTAGGGATGTGCAGCCTGAGGGCGAGGATCTTTTTTACATCCAGTACCTTCCCCCACCAGACTTGATGTCAGCCTGCCTGATAGCATTCTGGGTCAGAACTAGTGGGAGGCTGCAGGGTAGAGCTGCAGAATGTGGTCTGTGGGGCATTCACATGGAAGTGAGCCAGGGCCTTATCGTGATAGTCAGACACTCCTGTGTGGCCCCAGTCACTCTGAGCCTGTTGGAGGAAGTGAGAAAAGGAAACCACCATTCTGACTCCCACACAGATGTCTCTGTGATACAAGGATAGGCTGGCATGTAGTCAGCAAAACTGAATTTCCTTTGGAAAAATCTTTGTTGTGTCTTGTGTTTGTAAAACATTTGGAAAGTTGAAGGTCATGAGTGCCTGATCATGCTGCCTTCTCCCAGGCTAGCCTTTCAGTGGCTCCTTAGCACCCCCACCAGATGCCTCAAGTGTGGCTAGACATACCTCCTTTCGCTACCAGGCTTGGTATTCGGGTCTGTAATCTGTCAGAAATAGAAATCGTTTCCCTTCTCCTAAGAGCTGCTCAGACCTTCCAGCTCGTGTGATCCTGTGACAGCTTTTCTTTTTTTTCTTTTTTTTTTTTTTTTTTTTTGGTTTTTTGAGACAGGGTTTCTCTGTGTAGCTTTGCGCCTTTCCTGGAACTCACTTGGTAGCCCAGGCTGGCCTCGAACT